ACCTAGTGTTTCTGTGATTCTGTGATCTTCTAATAAGATTAGATGCTACAGAAAAATTGTTTCAAAATCCTCTATGAAGAGTTGCTGAATTTCCACCTCAGCATGGCATGTTGCTTAGGTGTCACCTAGACTGGGATTAGTATTTAAAGTACTTCAAGAATAAAGAATTAAACTACAGTAACTTTCTTTTTTTTTTCTTCCATTTGACAAGTTGATGTGAGGGAAGTTCACAACTGTTACTGGTCACAAACCCAGCTGCTCTCATACAGAAACTTGAAACAGCACGGGGCTTCTGCCTAGCTGAGGCTTATTTTTTGTGCGATAGGTACATATGCCTTTAGAGTGGAATCTATATTGAGACTTTAGGAACAACAATTACTATTAGGTGATTTTTTTTTTAAATCACCATGTTTAAAGTAAAAGTCCTTGATCAGAAGATTTTCTGTTTACTTCTGATATTTGCAGTTACATGGAAAGAGAATGTCTGAGATTAAAGTCTCCTGTTTCAGCTTGCTTATGTGTTCACTAAATAACTTTTTCCTTTCCAGTAGAGAGACTACAGAAGCCCGTGAAGTCACAAGAAAAACAGCTCCTCGTAATTCACTGGAAAGTGAAGAATATGTTAAAGATATTATAGGCTTATTGAATGCAAAAGACTTCCGCGATCGAATAAATGGCATTAAGCAGCTGTTATCAGATACAGAGAACAACCAAGGCTTTGTTGTTGCAAACATTGTGAAGGTAACTGTATGAAAACATTTTATTTCAAAGGTCCTTCAAGTTTTGTCACAAAGTTTTCTGATGAAAGCATTAGCTTCCTCTTTCAATAAAAATGTCTGATTAACATGAAAACACTGAGGAACAGGTCAGGTATGCTTAAGGGGGAGATGTGTAAGCTACAAAGGTAGTAAAGTAAATAGGAGGAAGAAGCTGAAAGTTTCCACTTGGAGATAGCACTCATTGAACTATTTCTGGAATACTGCATGCAGTTTTTCATGCCACTGCTGAGTAAATAGCAAAATATTGGAACAGGTTACAAAAAGAGCAGGAAGGATAAATCAAGATCTGAAAAACTCTCTCTGAAACACAGCTGCAAGTTCTGCATCCTTTGTTTATCTAGGAGAAGGTGAGGAAAGGTCTTTATTCTGATAAACTTAAGGTAAGTAACCTTTCTAATAGGAAAACAGGTTCTTCAGGAGAAAAGTACTATGATGAGGTCCAACAGTTGTAAACGAAGGATAGATACAGTGAAAGGAAAACCAAGATTGTCTTGTAACATTGCAGTGTCTTCGCTATGGAACCATGAAATACTTCTGCGAAACTTCGCAATATCTTAACTGTGAATATTTTTGAAATCTTTACAGCATTCTTTTTGCTAAACAGAGCTATGTCTTGCTAAAAAACACTTGCTTGCAGAAAATACTAGTCATACTGAAAGTCACAGATGGCTAGTTTACCTCCATTACATTGCATAGCAATGATTCACATTCAGATGAGGTGAGATACAGTTGAATAATACACAGTATAAAAATATCAAATGTTGCTTTACTCGCTAAAAAAAAATCTCAGGTATTTGCATATCAGAGCTGTCTTTTGCTAAGGTGGACAATTAAAGTCTAACAATAAAGCAGGAAACATAATATCCACCTCAAACATTAATTGTCAGTTCAGATGAATGCTGTTTGGATACTTTTTCAGATCTTCGATGCTTTCAAGTCTCGCTTGCATGACTCAAACAGTAAAGTAAATCAGGTTGCTTTGGAGACAATGCACAAGATGATCCCGTTGCTGAAAGACAATTTATCACCTGTGATCAACATGTTAATTCCTGCCATCGTGGACAACAACCTGAACTCCAAAAATCCAGGGATTTATGCAGCTGCCACAAATGTTATTCAGGCTCTGTGTCAACATTTAGGTAAGTAATTTACTCTCTCGTAAAGGGTTTTAATTATATTAATTAGATATTAAAGAGTTACTCTTTCCAATAGTTTCCATCCAATCATTACACTGTGTAACAAGTCATTGGTTTTATTCTCACACCTTTTAAAGCATACAAGTCATCTTAATATTTTGCCAGTCCAATAAAGAAATACAGCTAGCTGCACGTGTCGCGAGTGCGTCGATGGTTTTGTTATTGTTCCATAGCAAGTGCTTTTTGCTGTGCGGGTGCCTGAGCCCTGGCCCAGGTTGCCCTGGGAGGCTGTGGAGTCTCCATGCTTGGAGATACTCAAAAGCTGTCCCTCCCTTCCTCAACCATCCTGTGTGATTCTGTGCTTCGTTACCCAGAAGCTTGTCAGACTGCTGCTGAATCTCTTAAACAGGTCAAAGAACTAGACTCTTGCTGACTTGTGCATGCCTTAGCTGTTTTCCTTCCTCAGCTACTTTGGCTTTGGAGCAGAATCTTAGTATTTCAGTAAATGAAAAAGCTACCTTCTATCAGATTCTAGGAGTTAGAGCTTGCTGAGAGTATCTTTTTATGCCCTTAAATACATCACCTTGGTTTTTGAAGTTGATATATCATAAGTAAGGTTCTTAATTACATTTTTCTGTATTGTGTTCATTTCTAGAGTGTTTCATTTTCTGTTTAAGAATTTTAACATATTTTGTTCTTTGAATTTAGACAATTATTTGCTTCTCCAGCCATTCTGCACAAAAGCCCAGTTTCTGAATGGAAAAGCCAAACAAGACATGACAGAAAAGCTTGCTGGTAAAGTGATGTTTTACTTTGCATGTTTGTTTGTGTACCATCCTGATTATGCCAACTCATTGTAGGATGGTGGTGGCTATATATCTTCTGTCACAGTAGATTGTGGGCATTAATGATGCAGCAGTTGTCAGATTTCACCTCCTTCTAATACAAATTGAAGCTAATGCTGACAAAACAGAAGACTGATACATAGTCAGCTACTCCCCTGGAAGATGTATAAATACCTTGAGCTTAGAATAATTTTAATATGTAATCAGAGGTGGCAGAGTTCATAATGGTCTTCTTCCTAAAATGGTTTAAAAACAAAATTTAAAGACACATTGCTTAAAAATAGAAGACAAATTTTAATTAGAATTTATATACGTATTTTAATATTGGGGATTATTACTAGCAGAAGTGCTGAATTTTCCTTTGATGTTTTAAGTGAACAAGGGATGCCTTCATGGGAAATATGCTTAAACCAAACAGACTGTATTTGGCTTACTTTCAGGGTGGTTCTGTGTATAGTAGCAATGAAATTGAGCTACATAATATAATGGACAGTCTGTTCTTGAAATATTCCTAAATTTATGCTTTCTGAATGTGTTAATCACCAACCTTTAAACCGTTCATCTCTTGCAGGGATTTTTTGGAGTAGTTTGTATTACTTATCAAAAGAGCCCATTCTAGCAAAAAGGAAAACAGTTGCCAGTGAAATACTTAACTCATGATGTAATTGCCTGACTAGGGAAAATGCTTCATCTTATATAAGGCTACTTTGTTCCTTAAACACTTACTGTGTGGTTCTGAGATGAGGGGAAATCATAAAATACCAGACGTTACATGGGGCACTGTGAGAAATAAAAGCCCTTATGATAATCCTAACTTAAACAAAACAACCAACCAAACAAAAACCAACCCTTTCTTTTACTTGTTTTATTTAATGGAAAATTTTAATTGCCAGCAGTACCAGTGCTGCTGTGTAAACTAATGAGAGGGGATAAAAGGGCAGTTTGTAGGTAAAGTTGGTGTCTTTTACTGGAGCGCTGATGTTGTTGCAACAACAGACGAGCTTTTGCGTATAGCAAGCCTTCCTTCATTAGTTGCTTTAAGAAGATTATTTAAGTGCTTTTAAACACCTGCCAAAGCAGGGGGTCACTTCTGAATTGTATTTTGAAAATAGTCTTCCAACACTGCTCCATGACTTGTCTTTCTTGCAGATCTCGTTACAGAGTTATACCCACGGAAGCCTTACGCTGTGGAGCAAAAAGTTCTAGTTGTCCTTTGGCACCTCCTGGGAAATATGACAAACAGCGGCTCTTTGCCAGGAGCCGGAGGAAATATCCGGACAGCCACAGCGAAATTATCGAAAGCACTTTTTGCACAGATGGGTCAAAGTCTGTTAACTCAGGCCGCCTCTCAGCCACCGCACATCAAGAAGAGTTTAGAAGAATTTCTGGAGATAGCAACCTAGTATGTGCGTGTGTGAAACTCAGTCAGCCAACTGACTGGGACAGACGGACAGCTGTTCACGTGGAGACACGTGGGACCGTCCCCGTTGCTGGTTTCCGTGCAGAAGGGCCGCTGGTGAGAGAGGCTGTGAGCACGGCCGCAGGCGAGCGCCCGGCAATGGAGGAAAAGTCACCCCTGCTCCTCTACACGTCTCTTTAGAAGCTACAGCACAGCAGCCTGTTTGTAGATTGCTAACGAATAAATACACTTACTGCATAGCCATGTTTTGACTTGTTTTAGCACTAAGCCCTACACTGGTCAGTGGAAGAAAATCCCAGAGAGAATTACACAGTACAACAGGGTTTCGTGTGAGATTTGTGTTGGAAAAAAAAAAAATATTTTTTTAATCCACTTACACGGTTGTACAGTATTAGCTCGCTGTGGCTGCTGTTACGGCACTGTAACGTTGGCTTGGTGGCTGGGCATGCTCATCTGCACGGCAACGCACGACGCCGGCAGCTGGCGGCGAAGCGCGGCCGCTTGCTCC